GAGGTTCGCTGGAGCCGTGCCGGCGGCTTGGAGGGCGGAATGCGCTTGGGAACCGCGGAAGGGGTTACCTCGGGCACCTCCCCCGCCCCAGGGCCGCGTCTCTTCCCCTCGGGGCCTTCTGAGCGGAGGGGATCCCCGAAAGCAGCGCTTCCAGGGCCCCCACCGCCCGCGCACCGCGAAACCTGGAAAGGAGCAAAGCGGAAATAAATACGGACGGCACGGGGGGGCTGCGGCGGGGGGCGTGGGGGGGGGTCGAGGGGCTGGCTTTCTAGAGAGCTCAATGTGCTGACTGAGAGCTTGGGCTCTTTTTTGGCACAGAGAAAGGGGGTTACTTATTTGGGTGCGTGTAGCTTTTTCCTGGTGTATCGATTCCATCAAATGTTCTCTTCTTTTTCAGCAATTAGAACTAATCACACCCTTTCAGCTGTATTTCAACCCTGAATTAATATTTAAACACTTTCAAGTAAGTGTTTTCTAAAGCATGGGAGGTTTTTAAGTAAACTGTTGAGTTTGCAAGTGCTTGTCCTCTCAAAATTGAGTGTTACAGATGACTGACTTTTCATATTGAAGTTATATTTTAAAAAAGCTAACGAAGCTAGAGTGCCGATCGCTGTATCTTAGCATAGGTCTTAGATTCGTTGACTGCGAAGGAGATTTCAGTTACATTGTTACTTGCTTTTGTATTTAGACAATAAAAATAAGCTGTCGTGTTTAAAGTCCTTGTATTTGTCTTATTTCCAGGTATGGAGGTTAATCACAAACTACTTATTCTTTGGACCAGTTGGCTTTAATTTTTTATTTAACATGATCTTTTTGTATCCTTCATTGAGTTTGTTTTCTTTCCGTGGAAAGCAGAGCTCCAGAGTACAGGCATGTCGCTATATGTGCATGTAGGCAAAGGGTCAGTTCTGCTCCACCATGAAGCGCCTGGGAGTTTAGCAATGCCGACTTCACTGGTGTCATGAATGGACATCAACGGGATTTCCTTCATGAGTTGTCAAGAATTTTGTCGTTTGTTTTTGTGGTGTTAAGACTTTGTTGTACAAGCCTGGTCCTTCGGGTTGGCTCTGACATGCAGGAGAAAACTCCAAGTAACTTCTTTTCTCCTGGGTCCGTCCTCTCTGCTGAGGCACCCTGAAAGAGCCAGGTGATGAAGTAAATCAATACAAAACTGACATCTAAGCTCATGTATAACTGAATCCTTTTCCACTTGGATCTTTCTTTAAACTTATTTGCAGTCAAATTTTCCTGACCTGCGACTTCAGATATCGTTACTGCCGAATGCTTGAAGAAGGCTCTTTCCGAGGTCGGACGGCAGATTTTGTATTTATGTTCCTTTTCGGAGGACTTTTAATGACTGTATCCTTTTCTTATTCCAAACTGCTTTACTGAAGCTAAAGATATGTGAATGAGAACTGAAACCGTGATGTTACATTTCTCTTATTTCTTAGCTGATAATATATTTTGTTTGTAGTACGAGGAATAACGGTATTTGTTAAAGTATTTTTGAATGCTTTGTGACCGTTGCTGTCAAATACTGGGCTGGTCTTTCAGGCTTTTTACTGCTTGACAGGATCATGGAAATGAGATTATCACGTAAAAGGGGACTGCTCAGGTTGTCTAAGAGAAATGCTGCTGTTTCAGTGATTTCATGCTAAATTGTACTTTAAAGGGATTATTTGTGCTGCAGGTACCCTGAATCCTGCTATAGGTGTTGAATTTGATCGACAGTAGGTTTGATTTACTTGAACCTGGGAAAGTAGAGGTAGGAATTGTATGGAAAATGTAGGGCTATGGGTCAAGCTGTCAAATTCTTCTCATGCTTGACCTCACAACAATTATTTGGTGAACTGTTTTCTTTAACTATCACAGCTTTTTGGCCTGTTTGTGAACTTGGTTTTCTTGGGTCAGGCATTCACAATAATGCTCGTGTATGTATGGAGCCGCAGGAATCCCTATGTCCGTATGAACTTTTTTGGTCTTCTCATTTTTCAAGCCCCATTTCTACCCTGGGTATTGATGGGCTTTTCGCTGCTTTTGGGGAACTCCATCATTGTGGATCTCCTGGGTAAGGAATTGCAAGAATCGCAAGGATTTGTTCCTGCTAGTGTTTTACATGAAACAAAAAATGTGGAGAAAACAGAGGGCTAAATGCCTCTTACTTAGTATTAGTTAGTCTGGTACAATGGTGCTATGTTTATACCAGGCTTTTCTTGGTTTCTAAACACTGTAGTGTATTTTGTACTGTAACAAGGATGGAAAAGAACTTCTGATGCTTTGGTTTTTTTATTGCTTGGGATCAGCCCAGGTACATAATCCGATTGTGGGCATCGGACTGTAGAAGTGCTTATATTACTATTTCTATCAACTCTAATAAAGCCATAACATCAGTATGTTTAATAATGACAAGCAATTTTCCTTGTATTGATCTCTTGTAGCGTAAGTTAAGCTTGTCATCTGATGTCAATGTGCTTCATTGATTCTTTCACAGAAGATACGATAAGAGATATAGAAATACAAAAAACAATGTGGGGTTTTTTTTCCCCTGAAAACTCTAGTGAAGCATTTGAAAGTTTTAAAGGAGAAGTACTGAAAATCACCATTTGACTTTTCTTTTATATACTAGGCATTGCCGTTGGGCATATATATTTTTTCTTAGAGGATGTCTTTCCCAATCAGCCTGGTGGTGGAAGGCTTCTGAGAACACCATCTGTCCTGTAAGTATCGGTGTCTGATTTGGAAGAGATGTAGAAAAAGTGCTTGCATGGAAAACTGTTTATAATTCAGTCACATTGACTTCTGGTAAATTAGACAGCTTGAGACAGAATGGTGGTGTGTCTGCACTTGCTCTTTTATTTAACTCGTGTGTTGCCAAACAAGGGAGGAGGGTCTTACAGATGTCTAAGTGGGAACTAACTTCTTGCGGAGAAGGGCTAAAGGGGTTTTGTAACCCTTGATTTCTTTGGCAACACTTTTTAGTCTTTGCTAACTGAGTTTTGCCTGGTGGTGGCACCAAAGATGCATGTCTCTTACTGAGGTGTGAGGAGTGAGAGTTCTGCTGTGTACAGAGTGAGGTATTAAATATATGTAATATTTTTTCCATCTGGAAATCACTCTCTATTTCACAACTTTGGCAAAAGACTTCAGTGTTTGTACTACTGAGTGGTGCTACTCCTACTCAGTTCCCTCTTGCGTAGAGGGCTGTAATCATCTGTAATGCTGTACAGCAGCCTGGGCAAGAGAAGCTTGCCTAAACGATAGGGCAGATGAGACATTGAAAGTTTAGCTCTGTGGGACTCTTAGAATTATTTAGAGCTGAACTGATTCTCTTTTTTTTTTTTTGTTTGAACCAGCCTCCAGACACCTGAGTAATTAAAATGTCATATTCAGACCCGTGCTTAGTTTAACTGATGGGTCATACCTGTTTGATTGGACAAGTACACTTACATTGGTAGTTTATTTCTGTTCCGTATAGGCTTTGTCTTCAGCAAGTAATTGTACCGGGAGATGGCTGCAGGAATGGCTGTCCCAGGACAGCTGTGCTGGTCACTTTTGTAGGCCTACGCTAATCTAACTTGGCCTTAGCAGCTGAAGGCTGTTTCCGATGAGGGCTACATTCACATAAGTGCAACTCTAGACAAAATGAGTGTCCAATTACACATGTGCGATAAGGATATATTTGAGATTTCCCACTTTCACAGAGGGCGTATGCACCCAGCTGTGTGCAGGAGGAATCCTAAGGCTGTTGGAGCAATGCGTGCTGTCTTGGTAACGCTCTTCCTCTGGAAAAAGTGTCAGCCTGTCTTCAGGCTGCCATTTAAGTCCTTTTACATGTCTGTGTTCAGAAGGCTGCTTATGATTCTTGTCTGGGTCTAGAGTTGTGGGGTTTTTTTTTCCCCAGATGCTTTAATTTTCTTTGATGTCTTAGCTGTAATCCTGTCATACCCCTGGTATTTTCTTTTTTCCTGTTCTGAAAACTTCTCTGAAATGGCCTGTCGCTCTGGGTGAAGAGAAATAATCCCTTTAGCTATTCTAAGAACTGTCTTGTTAAACACTTTACTTTTAAGATGTTTTGGATATAACGATTGCTTGTATGTGGCCTGTGATTTTTTTGTTTGTTTGTTTAAAAGAATCTACTGCATTTTTGTTTCTGGATAAACAGATCTACGGAGAGAGAACCTCTAAAACTAGTTTTGAGTGGCAAAATAACCTACGAGATTAAGCATGACTCTTGCAATTAATAGGAAACCCAAGCCTCTAATGTTGTCTCAAATCTTCTGTGGATTTCAAGTCTGCTTGTCAATGCCTGCATCCTGCCTGTGAGATTGAGATAATACTGCCTGTATTTGACTCTTACTTTGTCCCCTTCTCAAGATGTGAAGAGCTTTTCAATGTCCCATTCATGTTTCGCTCCCTTGTCCTGTCCTGGGAGAACATGCTAGCTGTATGAAATTCTGCCTTACGCTGGAGGTGGAATTTTAACTTTCAGCTGAATCTCATCAGTCTCGGTTGATGTAGGCACATAATTCTAGCCCTTCTTCCAAAGGGCTCCTAATTGGAGAGCAAGTGTGACTTGGACATAAATCACCAGTGCTTTGGCAGGCTGTTTCTGAGGGAGGATGCTGTACACGTGCAGAATTTGAGCGGTCTTGGTCTTATTGTGAAACACGTATTCTAAAGGGAAAAAAAAATTCTTTTCTGTTTTCCAGGAAAGCAATATTTGATACACCGGAAGATGATCCTAACTACAATCCCTTGCCAGAAGAACGACCAGGAGGATTTGCATGGGGAGAGGGTCAGCGCCTTGGAGGCTAAGTGTCTGTGCCAAAACCCAGCGACAACTGGGAGAGACTGACCTGAATGAAGTTCCATACTGGGGACTGTCTCTTTCCCCATCGCAGAAAGGACACTTTTTGACAGCTCTATGGTTTTGAATACAAGCACTTTATGAAATGGCAGTGTAATCCAAGGCGCTTCCAGGCGACCAGTGTCTTTCCCAGTCAGGGAATTTATTGTGCTAGTAATGAAAATACTAATCCAGTGGAGCCAAAAACCTAAAACTGGAAATCATTTCCTGTCAACTTCAGTTAACAAGACGATGAGTACTTGTTTAAAACTATTTCTAAAGCATTTTTTCAAGTTATTTGATACAGGAAACTATATGGGAAACTTTACAGGGGACAAAACCAACTTTTTTGGTTTTAACTCATTTTTTATTCTTGGATAAAACAGCTACAAGATGGTTGAAAATGTAAGTCCCTAGTTCAATGGCGAAAGGTTTTTTAATCTGAGATGCTATTGTCTCCAGTCTCATTTGAATTGTAAGAAATACGACATGTAGCATAATGCAGGCTTTTCACTTTGCCAGCTGGGTTTCTGGAGTGTGCCTCTGTGTGAATACGCTTGCAGGCTGGGACTACATTTTGATGGCTTTTTCCCCCAAAGGCTGTGTGTTCAGACGACCAGGTTTGAGTCTTACTGGTTTGTTTAAATAGGTAGTTCTACAAAACCCACCCCCACACATGCACACTTGCAACAGTTATTAAATGACTTGGAGCACTAGGGAAGAAAACTTGTCTGGAGTCAGAACCGCACAAGTATCTCAGGCGGTGAGTTGAATAAAATGTCTTGTGGATCCTTTTTGTTGATCCTTTGTATAATCCTACAGTCTTGAGGCAGCTGGTGAAAAAGCAGAGGTTGGAAAAAGCGAGTCCCTGAAGAGACAGCATTAATGCAAGCTTTTCCCACAAGTGTCTCTCAGAACTGCTAGGAAACGGGATTGTCCGCTCAAGATGTTAAATTCGTGGTCTGTGTATGAAGCTTGTTGCGGGAGGACTGAGCGTCCAACACAGGTCAGTGACACTGAGTGGGATTTAGCTTGAAGTTACATTGATTATAAATATCTGTATGAGGAGCTACATAAGGAATTCGGAGCACAGTTCAGCCCGTCGTGTTCCGTCATTCCTGAGACGCTATGGACTGTACTGGGTAGCTCTTTATTCATATCGTAATAGATAAAAAGAGATATTGTTGAAACTGCATCTTCCTCCTGAATTTGGGAGGATAGGCTCACCCTTGACGCATACGTGACCATCTTGTTTAGTCTCAGATTTTGCTGTTCTTAAAAACTGGCTACAGGTTTTTAACTTGTTTGTAGTCCAGGAGATGAATGTGTCGGGGAAATGCTAATACACAAGCAGTGTATTAGATTCTGATACGCAAAATTGGTGAGTCCATTTGTATCTGCATTTTATCTGTTAAAGGTTATAAAAACTTAAGGGAGATTTTTTTTTCCAAAACAGACTTTAAATCTTACTCGTACTAAAAATGTTTTGGGCAATGTCGCTTCAGGGTAAATTATGAGACAGGAATTGGATCAAAACCTTTTTTTTTTTTTTTTTTGTTCAGTGTTTAAGAGCCTCTTAGTAGTTTGCTGGTGGGACGTTAGGGAGTGGGGATGAAGCTAAAAGACAGCCCTGTGGCTGGGATAAAACCACCTGTGAATCCAAAGCCCCTCTGTGAAGTGGGCGAGGTGACGTGCCCCCTCCTGAGGATGACCTCCTGTTCCAAGTCGCCTATCGGTAAGACAGCTTGGCCATCCTTGCTCTTCCGGAGCTGCTTTCCTCGCACGCTTCCTTCCACCCTGGTGGGGTACTGAAGATTGCACTCTTCTCTTTACGGAGTAATGCCGTAGTGTCTGTATCTGGGAAGAACTTTGAAGTGTTGCTTAATTGTACCCCAGGACAAAATTGACTTAGTGGTGGTCTAATCTGGTCTTTAATTGCCCTTGAAACCGTTCTCGGGCAGCCTGTCCCACAAGGAAGTGTGTTTAAATACCAAAGTCCTTTTTGGGGAGTGTATCGTCAGCTGCGTGTGAGGTGGGAGATTATTTGAGCCGACAAATCACAAATGGGAATGACGTCGGTCTTGAACCTGCCCCTCTAAGATCCTCTCTGCCGGTCAACTCTCTGCCCTTCTTAGCCGGTGTTTAGATTCTGTGGATTTCCCCGCTAGCAGAGAGGGTTTTGCTGAGGTCCCCTTGCCCCAGGGGCGCGCGAAGAGGTTAGTGGTGCCCCACACCGCGCCCCGTAAACGCCACCGGCCGCCGAGGAGGTCCCGGGACTACATCTCCCATAACGCCCCGCTTCGGGCGGCGAGTCACGTGGGCGGGACGGCGGCGTGATG